TTGCAAAGCTTTTCTGGTGGAGGTCATGGAAAGTTTACAGGTCACCTGGTGGGGGTCACGGAAAGTTTAAAGGTCACCAGATTGCCACTCGGACTGGTTGATGTGCGGCCAAGCCGCGGGGCATCTAAGGACACGTGACATGGCCTGCCTTAGCGACACGGCTCCCTGCCCCGCATCCTACCCAATCAGATCTGCAGATTGGCCGTGACGTCAGGCAAGGCAGCCTTTATAAGCCGGTCCTCGCAGCTGCCTCTGCCTTTCCTTCTGAGCTGTGGGGAAGGCGAGACACTCCGACATGGCTGAGCCGTGGTCTTCCCGCACTTCGGAGGAGATCGTGGACACCGAGGAGCGCAAAGAAGCCGAGTCCAAGAGCCCAGAGCAGAAGACGCCGAAGCAGGAGACACCCGTGCGCCGCCAACGCCGCCGCCGCCGCCCAGCAGACAGCTTCGCCAGTTTCGCCACTTACTTCCGCAGGGTGCTGAAGCGGGTGCACACAGGCCTGAGCCTCTCGCGGGAGGCCGTGAGCGTCATGGATTCGTTCGTTAAGGACATCTTCGAGCGCATCGCCAGCGAGGCCGCGCGCCTGGCCCGCTCCAAAAACCGCGTCACCATCACCTACGAAGACATCCAGAGCTCGGTGTGCCTGCTGCTGCCTGGGAAGTTCGGCAAGTCTGCCGTGTCCGAGGGCACTAACGCTCTCATCAAGTACATCTTATGCGAATGAGCTGCCTCAGGACCACCTGAGCATCACAAACCAAAGGCTCTTTTCAGAGCCACTCACTAGGCAGGAAAAGACCTGTAGCGCTGACGAGTCCGAGCCACTCTGGTTTGTCGACCAGTGACACTCTGACCATCTTTAAAGCGTTTCTTCCCTGAGGGAAACATTATGAACCTTATCAACTCCACTTGAGTGTACGTCTGTAGAGCCATGGGTTCCATGGAAATCCGTGCATTTTTCTTCACCATACTGCACGTCCTCCCTTCCGAAATGGTCGTTTCTATTAGTTATATTTCTAGGTCAGCCTTTTTAGGGATCTTTACTGCCAAAGTTATCTCCCTAACAACTTAATTTGCCTTTTTATGTTGTCATTCTTCCCCGTGGATATAGCAGTATCATCCGGGATTTTTAATGTGTGAAATAGGGACAGACAAACTACAGTAGCAGATACAAAAATCAAACTTGCCCTTTCACACTCCTTCAACATATTTCAAATCTCAATGCCATTCAGTACATGACATTATAGGACCCAAACACACTGCCAAAAGAGATAAAGCAAATTTTCTAGACTCACTGGGTGACTCAAGCGCCATACCTTTGGAAATTTCTCTTCTACCTAATTTATAATGATCTGAGTCTATTTTTCTGCAGCCTGTAACTTTTCACTTTCGAAGTAAAAGTCTTGACTGAACTGCAATTTTGCACGGATGCTGGGAGCGTCCGATGAGACCGGCTGCAACCACAGTCTCCAGTAGCAGCAGCCAGTGAGGGACTCGCACCACTTGGGGGCACAGCAATTGGCCCAAAGTGTGGTGGGGTGACCAGGACCGAACTTATAAGAGGCTTCCTGTCATACTCGGCCTGCAGATTAAGGGAGAAGGAGGTGTGATAGTGTCCCTGAAGGTTTTCCTTCAACGACTTGCATTTAACCATGGGGATTTAAGTCTAGGCCTCCCGATCTGGTAGTGAGACATGTCTCTATCTCCTGGCATCAAAATAAGAGGGGGATGTTGGCCAGTTAAGCAAACTAAGATGCCTCCTTCCTCGACCTCAGGTGATTTCAGTGTTCATGCCTATGATGATATTAATTTAATTTAATATGCATTATGTTTTCTTCCTGGTGCATTGTCTTCTTTTTCTTTCGTTTCTCTGTAGGAATGTTGCTGAATTTCAAAGTACTCAGTGATTTTCCAATTCCTTTCCTTTTAATTTAATTTCTAGCTTCCTACATTGGTGGAGGGAGCACCCACTCTGGGATTTCAATCCTTTGAAACTTACTGTGGGTTTTCATTAGAACTCAGGGTGTCATCATATTTTAAAGGGCTC